AAGCCTGGAAGCCTGGGGACTGCTTCAGTGCCCTCCCTATGTGAGACAGTAACAAGGGACAGGCCTGGGCCCGGGGAGGGGGGGCTCACCTCCTCCAGGGGTGTGATGGAGGAGCTCTCGCCCCCGTAGTAGGGGTTCCGGTCCATGTGCAGTACCTTCTTCCCGTTCACGGACATGATGCCGGACAGGATGCATTCCTGGCAAAGGGGCACATTCGCATGCTCCCACCTGCCCACGTTCCCACCAGCAGCCCTGATTTGTTCCCCACTCCACCCTGGAAAGCAGAGCAGTGCTGGAAGGTCTCTGCCCCAGTGGACAGCTCCTTCCACCCCACGCTGGTCAGCTCGCCTAAAACTAGAGGCAACAGCCGCATCTGGCCACAGTCTCCTTCATAACCTTGCTGGGCAAGGAGGTAAAGAAGACAAATAATGGAGATGTGGACACAGGGATGGTCTTCCAGTGACTACCACACCAAGAAAGTCATCTACCTACATAGAGTCGCGGAAAAAGACAGATAAGACACAGCGAGCCACAGGGAAGACCCAGCTGGACAGAGAAGGGCCCCCAGAGATGAAACGCGGTCCTGGGATCGCAGGCCCCACCCTGGGCTGCTTGGTCCTCCAAGTTGCCCCTGACCCTGAGCCTTCTCGCCCGGCTGCTGGGAGGGGCTTCTGCGCCCCGACTCAGGGAGATGAGTCTCTCAGGGGAGCGGCCCAACGGGGTTTGAGGGAAGGGGGGAAAATAAACACCCTCACCAGTCACTGTCATCAGCCCAAGGACAAAGACTGCAGACACTACTCAGCCTGAGGTCTCCATGGGAAACCGGGGTGGGGTAGCGGGAATGTGGTCACTGCCCCCACTGCTGCTACTTCTGGAACATTCCCTGGGTCTCCGGGGCCCCGTAAAAGACCGGAGGTGCAGGATGAGGGCCCATGGCGAAGCCCCCGACCCGTGGTCCTTCATCCCCACCAGGAGTAACGCAAGATGGGAAGGGATGCCGGATGGGTGACGGGGTGCGGGAGATGGGCGGAGGCAGGGGAGCACTGGGGGGTATCGGGCAGAGTGGGTGTGCATTTTCCGGCCCAGCAGGCCCGGGTGGGGAGGACGCCAAAGGCCGGCGGTAGGGGTTGGGGGAGTCGAGGGGATGGAAAGGAAGGGGGGTCGCTTCTTGGAGATGCAGCCACAGCGGAGGGTAGAGGCGACATCGCGAGGGGAGTGGGCACGGGCTGTTTTTGGGGAGGACCCGAGCGCCGCGGATGGCAGTGATGGGAGGATGGGAGGATGGGTCGGGGGCGGCAGAGCCGAAGGGAAGAGGGGACGGTGCAGGACCCCGGGCGCCTGACGCCGCACTTACGGTGAGGCCGGTGCCCAGCACGATCACATCGTATTCCTCATCCATGGTCAGGCCTCGGTGCCAGCGCCGTGGGCTCCTCCTCCTCCTTCACCACAGCCGCCGCTGCCGCCGCACTGGACCAAAGATGGCGGCGTGCCGGCCGCCGC